CTCTCTCTCTCTCTCTCTCTCTCTCTCTCTCTCTCTCTCTCTCTCTCTCTCTCTCTCTCTCTCTCTCTCTCTCTCCTCACTACCTCGCCATCGTCTATATCTGCAGCAACGGCTGCCTTCTCCTCTCTCTCATCTCCTTCTACAGCATCTGGCGGGCGCCCACGAAAACAGCCTGCCGCCAGCCTCCTCCTCAAGTTTCACGTGCAGCGTCGAAGCCGCAAGCAACTCGTAGGACTGAATGGCAAAGCAGTGGCGAGGTCAACTCGTTATAGTGTTGACTCACGTTGTCCAGGGTCAGCTTCTGTCTGTGTGAGGCCCTCGATCCTCCGGATGTCAATGGCTCAGATGCCATTTGTCCCAGTTTCTGTCTGGACTCCTTGAGGCCTGAATCTTCCGGAACATGCAGATCATCGTTAGATCATTCCAGATCGTCGGCTAGGAAATCTCATGTGTTGACTTTGACTTCTCGGATCTTCTGGGCCTGAGTCCACGATTTGACTGTTGACATTACAGTCAACCGTTGGTCTGGCCTCTTCCTAGGGCCTGTTCGACCTCGATTTCGAGGCCTGCCCGTTCGCACTCGTTTTTGGGGTGCTGAGGGCGCGATTGGAGCCCAGCGGGTCAATTATGCATACGAGTTACAGCAGCAGCCTTGTTTAGTGGTTCCGGGTGTTGAAGGCTCCATCTATTGGTGGGGAGTCTGCAGAAAGGGGAATCGCGTTATGAACAGGTCATGAGTTTGAATCCTCCTTTTTTTTTCTTTCTAAAAGAAAACTTCCATTCCTGGGGCGTCACTTAACCAGGTGATAAGAGCAGCCTCGTTAAGTGGTCCCGGTTGTTGAAGGCTCCATCTATTGGTGGCGAGCGGCACCTGCACAGCGTCCCAGTATGTTACACCATCTTTTGTGTGTGTTTGAACATGTAGCGTATGTAGCGTTCAACGGGTTTGGAACTTTGGAATACTGATGCGAAATGTTTCGGGCGAAGAAAAGAAAGCCCCTCCTCCTCAGCTGGTCCTGTCTCTGTAAAGTTTGAACTTAAATTTGGACATATGTAGCACATTTCCTCCTGATCGGACACACAGCCAGGCAAAATTATTGGAATGCATTTCCCTCATGACAAATATTGAAATATGTGCAACATTTGTCAAAAATTAAAATTTGTGGAAAGGAGTGCGTAGTAGAGACTGGAGGGTGGTATGAGGGCGAGTGCTGTAAATATTAGATGGTAGCCAGAAGATTTTAATGGGGAAACTGAGGAAGGGTTTTAACACGATGAGAGGCCCGCGAGATTGCTAGAACAGCCCCCCCGAGCCAGGCCTTCCCTGGGGACCCATCTGTTGTGTGGCTGGGTGCTGCTAGGAAGCTTCCCGACCAACAGAGGTATCCCTGGGGAGGCTATGGTATGGGAAGTGGGTTTTGGTTGTAGCAATCCCCCCCTTGAGAGGCGTCTAGGGCCGCAAGGGCAAGGCTTTCCAAGTTTCCTCTTCTCTTTTAAACCAAACTGTATTTTGTTTTCCAGCTTGCCGGTGATGAGCAACCAGACTGATGCCCCCCAGAATAGAAGGGGCTTCTCTTTCTCGAAAAAAAAAAAAAA